GAATTTTTCCCCGGGACACTGCGATCTGCAACAACTTGAGATTTTATCAGCCACTGTTTGCCGAAGACGCCTCTGACGATGTCGGGCGCACGGCTTTTGATTCTACTCACTCCTCTTTGGGGGATTGTGACTTTGAATTGTGGACGGACGGTCCTTCATATCTCGCTGCACTCGCATCTGGATCCGCTGCGCTATTATATGACTCCACCACGACAAATGATCTCCCTGTGGAGGTACATCGTGCAGCAGCTGGCAGCCTCGCATGCTCATATAGGGCAGACTGCCTTGCGATCGAAAATGTTTTTAGACATCTCATACCTCCTTGTCTGGAAACATCCCAATCGCCCACACGAATGCTGGAGGAAACGGACTCCCTCTCGGCAATGGAGGCACCCCGCGTTGCCCACCGACCGTGCGAGACCGCGTTACTGAGTAAATTTGGATTATGCTGCTTTCCTTGGTGAGGCGAGGTCACCCAGTGGATTTTATATTTTCCATCACACTGCGGTATTCCACGCAGTGAGGCCGCTGACAAACAAGCCACGATTGCACGATCCCTCTCGCAGGACTGCGTCAATGCCTGGCACGTGGACTTCCCTACCGCCGTCAAGAGGTTATAATGGAAGGATGCCCAGGAGGAAAAGGAGGGCGCGCACACCGCGTGACAGGCGCCTGTCGGTGTGGCGAGGACTCTATTCCTGGTGTTGACCCGGACATCGGTCCCCGAGTGGCGGCACTGCGCACAGGCGCGATGCGACTCCTGCCCACTCTTCGGCAGGCCTGCATGCGCCCTGCGGATCACAAGGAACCCTCTGTGTCGGTGGCGCCGTCCCTCACTGCGGTGAACGGCCCGCCTCTGCCTCCGCCGGAACCTCTTCCCGACGTGAGCGCCGCAACTCCTTGTCGACCAGCGAGCGGCGGATTGACGTCCTCCTGCCCAACCTGCGGCAGAGTGCGCTTGTCCGTCCACAGTATGAGGGCACATGCCCGACGTGCTCAGCCTGGCGTTATAATAGTTTGCGAGGGCCTCCCATGCGGATGCCACAATGGCGCCACCGTCTTCTTAACAGATGCCTCGCGCGCAGGTCGCCACCGAAGTTGCCAAGCATGCCAGCAGGCGAGACACTCAGGAAGCACAAACGCGGGTACTCGAGATGGACCAGGCTCTTCCGCCACCGCCTCATCACGGACGCCACGGGCTGCTGATCCCCGACGGACCACGGGAGACTCCGCCTCATCCACTGCGGGAATGCCCTCGTCGTCGGGAATCTGGACTGCGACTGTTTGTGACTGCCCCAGCCCGCACGACGGAATACTTGCCACTTTTGTACGGACGGCCCTTGCGCTACTCACTCGTTATTGTAGCAGCATACAACCAAAACAGGATAACAAGCTGCTTTGTGATGAATATTGGCTGCACTTCCCGTGGACCAACAATCCGCGTGGTGTGCGGGGATCTCCTTTTTTGTATTGTTACTTTGCTTTTGTGTTGCTGTGTGCGCTGCACCTTCTTGTGTGTGTGTGTACCCTCCGTGCGGGGTGCCGACACGACGGACCGCTCTCGCCGTATGTGCATGCGGTGGAGCCTTGTGTGCCGCTCCTGTTTGCTTCTCCCTCCTCCATTTGTGTGTTGGTGTTGCGGCAGGGCTGCGTGTGTGTGTGCCTGCTGCCGTGGATTGGAGTGTGTGTCGTGCGTGGTGTGCGGCGTACGGTGCATGCCTGGCTGCTGCCCTCTCCTCATGTGGTGTGCCCTCTGTGTGTGTCTGCCGCACCTCTCGTCTCCCCTGTTGCTCTCCATTTCCCTCACTGTGCAGATCAGCTCCACACCACTGAACAACCACACTCACGATGATGATGACGTGCCGTCTGCTGTGCGCCCTGTTGGTGCTTGCCCTGTGCTGCTGCTGCCCGTCGGTGTGCGGGGCAGAGCCTGAGCCTGAAGCTGATTTAGGCGTCCTTGATCCATCGCCTCCTCCACCACAGCCAACACCCCCGAAGACCGGTCAGTCAGGGTCGTCAAGTGTGGGGTCCGTTGTAAATCCGGGAAATGGTGGCGGAGAGGGACAAAGTTCGACTAATCCAGATCCGAAATCAGAAGAAGTTTCGAGTACGGCAGAGAAAGAGGTTACTGAAAGCAGGACAGTTTCCGAAAGCCGAGCGAGTTCGTCCGAGGAACAACCACATAAGAACACGGAAGATGCCAAGGCGACCACAACGGCCACTAAAACAAAGTCACCGGAGGATGACAAGAAGTCTAAGCCTGAAACCAATACAAATGCCACCAGTCCAATTCCCTCTGCACCAGTGATTAAGCCTTCTGACGCTTCTGCCGAGACGACCACGACCACCACAACACAGGCACCAACCACGACGACCACTACCACAACACAGGCACCAAGTACTACGACTACTGAGGCGCCAGCTGTGTCGACCACCCGCGCACCGTCACGTCTGCGCGAAATCGACGGCAGCCTCAGCAGCTCTGCGTGGGTGTGTGCCCCGCTGGTGCTCGCCGCCTCCGCGCTGGCGTACACCGCTGTGGGCTGAAGAGGTGTGTGCGGGCTGTGCGTGCCAGCACTCAACCGCGGGATTTTTGCGTGTGTGTTGTTTTTCACTGTATAAAATAAGAGAAAACAATGATCTTGTTTTGCTTCACTTGCTTCTGCTGCCGTGCTGTGTGCTCCGCGTTGTGCCCCGCATCCGTCACGTTGAACGCATCGCGGACACACTCATGTGCATGCGCACTGGAGCCCTGGGTTTGTTTTTTCTTTTCTTTTTTAATTTCTTTTTTTTAACTATTGTTTTTTATTGCTTTTTAAACTTGTGGTTTGCGGTGCGGTGTGCGAGCTCTGCAATCGTACTGATTCCATCTGTCTCGTGGTGTGTGCGCTGCTGCTGGGGTTCTGCCATTTGTTGCTGTGCGGTGGCTGTGCGTGGTGTGGCGGCCGTGTCTATCTTTTTGCTTTTCACCCTGTTGACGGGGAGTTAGTTTGTGCTGAAGGCTACACGCAAGTGACAGGAGTGGTGGCGATGATGGCTGGCCGTGTGCTTCTGGTGTTTGCCCTCTGCGTGCTGTGGTGGCGATAGCGGTACGTGTGAGTATTAGCTCCTGCGGTGGCGTGCTCAGCTGCGGTGGGAGTGTGCGATGGATGGCAGCAGAAGTACAGGAGGCAGGGCGAATGCGTCCGCCGTGGAGGAATGCGTGCGTAATTGGATGGCCGTCGTCCCTGGAGGCGCCAAGGGATTGCCGTTGCTGCTGACACCGCTGAGGATAGGGGGGCATGCTGCAATCCAATGAACACTCAACGAGATGCGTCACCAATCGCGTAGATCGCCTGCCGTTAGAACGAGGAGAAGACAAGGCGGAGCGCCACCAGCGGCACCGGCAGTATGTGGAGGATCAGCGGGATGGCGTTATTTGCCGCCCGAAATGAAAACGAATGTGTCGGAGTCACACGACGCATTGAGTGGTGTTGGACAGCGGGAGGAGTCAACTGTGAATGGTTCAGAAGGCAAGGCTCAGATGCTGATGGCTCCTGTCACTGTGGGGCGCCTGGAACTCGTGCCCCAAAGGGAGCGAGCATTGCCCTCTTCGGATGGCAGTCGCGCCACCGGCAGTCGGGAAAACGAATCCGCTCAGGATGAAAAGTTGAAAGTCGCTGAGTCATCGGAGGGCGGTGGGACAGAGGGAGGAGCCCAGCCCCCATCACAGCCTGCCATTGGGGGGCGAAAAGGATCACTACCAACAAAACCAGCCGCAGTACCGGGCGAAAAAATAAGACAAACAGCAGGGGCAGGAACCGCCGCAAAGGGCAGAAGGGTCTGACAGCCGACACGAAGTTTCATGGCCAGAGAATGGCGAAGGTAGCGCCAAAACACGATGTGGGCTCAAACACAACTTCCGCACAAGTACCGGATGATGCACCATAAGGAGAATCGGGACGAGAAGTTGCAGTAGAAGCAGCTGGTGGAGATGAGGCAGAAAGGAAGGAAGTTGCAGCACACCAAGACACCGTGCAGCATGCACCATCTCCCACTTACGAGAGGCCATCGCAGTCATCGTCCTTTTCAGATGGCGGCTTTGCTGCATTAGATTGGAAAGAGGAATGCATCGTGCAGGAGATTTTCAAACAGCCTCCACTTTCTGTCGCTGCAGAGAAAACAGAAACGTACCGGCGTGGAGACAAAGCGCCTGCTGCCGAGGCTGACAACAGCACTGCATTTCTTCCGGCTGCAGAGTTTAACGCCGCCGCCAGCACCACCACGACCAATCACAATGCGAGCCACCTGGACGGAGAGGACGCCGGACCCTCCACAGAAGAAGTGGAGAAGAAGAATGCAACAACAAAACCGAAGGCACATCAGCCGGCAAAGTTACCCCGCAGCCCACAACGAGGGGTTCACGAGGGACACCGCCACCGCCACTAGCAACATAAACACAGCTTCGCATGGCGGCAGTGACAGCAGCACCGTAGTCTCCCACACCACCTCCCTTTATTGTTTCTTGCGCTTATTTTAGCTTTGCGGCCGCTGCGGTGGTGGCCGGCCTGCATGAAGTGGAATGCGATGAATGTGGACGAAGGCCCACTGCAAATGAACTGCTTGTGGTGAATATTGACTGCACTTCCCGTGGACCAACAATCCGCGTGGTGTGCGGGGATCTCCTTTTTAATTGTTACTTTGCTTTTGTGTTGCTGTGTGCGCTGCACCTTCTTGTGTGTGTGCACCCTCCGTGAGGGGTGCCGACACGACGGACCGCTCTCGCCGTATGCACATGCGGTGGAGCCTTGTGTGCCGCTCCTGTTTGCTTCTCCCTCTTCCATCTGTGTGTTGTTGTTGCGGCAGGGCTGTGTGTGTGTGTGTGCCTGCTGCCGTGGATTGGAGTGTGTCGTGCGTGGTGTGCGGCGTACGGTGCATGCCTGGCTGCTGCCCTCTCCTCATGTGGTGTGCCCTCTGTGTGTGTCTGCCGCACCTCTCGTCTCCCCTGTTGCTCTCCATTTCCCTCACTGTGCAGATCAGCTCCACACCACTGAACGACCACACTCACGATGATGATGACGTGCCGTCTGCTGTGCGCCCTGTTGGTGCTTGCCCTGTGCTGCTGCTGCCCGTCGGTGTGCGCTGCAGCGACTGGTGAAGTCGAACTCCCCGGCTTGAGTTCATCGTCCTCTGAGCCACAAGTCAAAACTAAGTCTGATGCGGGACTGGGAAACGGAAAGGGGGGTGACCGAGCGCCAGAAAATGAGGAACCTACCCCGTTAAGGGAAAAGGAGGATCCTGTTAAGGTGCAGATACCAAGTGCAACGACTAACACGACTACGACAAAGGCACCAACTACAACAACGACCACGACTACAACAGAGGCGCCAACCACGACGACCACCACTACAACACAGGCACCAAGTACTACGACTACAGAGGCGCCAACAACGACGACGACCCGCGCACCGTCACGTCTTCGCGAAATCGACGGCAGCCTCAGCAGCTCTGCGTGGGTGTGTGTCCCGCTGGTGCTCGCCGCATCCGCGCTGGCGTACACCACTGTGGGCTGAAGAGGTGTGTGCGGGCTGTGCGTGCCAGCACTCAACCGCGGGGATTTGTGCGTGTGTGTTGTGGTTCACTGTATAAAATAAGAGGAAATAATGATCTTGTTTTGCTTCACTTGCTTCTGCCGTGCTGTGTGCTCCGCGTTGTGCCCCGCATCCGCCACGTTGAACGCATCGCGGACACACTCACAAGCATGCGCACTGGAGTCCTGGGTTTGTTTTTCTTTTTAATTATTGTTTTTTAATTATTGTTTTTTATTGCTTTTTAAACTTGTGGTTTGCGGGGCGGTGTGCGAGCTCTGCAATCGTACTGACTCCATCTGTCTCGTGATGTTTGCGCTGCTGCTGGGGTGTTGCCATTTGTGGCTGTGCGTGGTGTAGCGGCTGTGTCTCCTTTTGTTTTTCTCGTGCTATCGCAGGTTGGCTCCGCAGCGTTAGGCGACTCCACTGTTTGTGATGATGACTGGCCGTGTGCTCTGCGTCCTGTTGGCTCCTGCAGTGATGTGCAGCTGCTTGTGCGTGTGAGTGACGGCTGCTGCGACGGGGTGCGTGTGCGGCCGCGGGTGATGGCGCGGTGACTTCCGGGCACGCGCGGGGTGTGATGGCTGCGGAAGGTGGACCCGTGGCCGGTGGCTCTGGACGAAGGGGGAATGTGAACTCTGAGGACAATAGCAATCAGGAAGAGGAGGAGGGTGGAGGAAACATTGCGGGTGAGGACCCCAATCCCACCTCGGGAGGAGCACTCACTGCTCCGACGAGGCGGGGCCAATCCAGCAGCGACCCACTGCGAAGTGGCACTTGCAATCCGTCCGGCACTGGCAGCGCGTCTGCTGCTCGGATGCGTGCAAGTGGACCGGAGTCTTTGGGCGGAGGGCACGCTGCGGGCACAACATCCCCACGCTCCGACGCATCTCAGCAGGCAGCGGGTGGAGTGCATGCTGGTGGCGGGAGGACCTCCCAGGGCAGTCAGGCTTCGGAACAAACCGTCACGGGACAGTCACAGGTGCCAGGGACGGCGAAGGAAGCACCGCAGGGCGATGAAGGAGGAGAACCCGGAGCACAACACGAGGCCGACCAAACCACAAAAATGACTGTGGTGGCCTCTTGCGCAGAAACAGCGGTGGAAGAGGAGAGCCGCCAGCGGGATCGCAAGATGCACCACGTCTCTATAGTGGCGGGAATGCTCATTATTATTATTTTTCCCTGCTCTTACCGACATGTCTAGCCACACGATGTCATCA